GTGGTATAGTCTTATGTTAACATAGAGATAATAAGGAATATAATTTTTTAAAACTTGTTCTGCTCAAATGTATTTTGAAATAGGTTGTCACAAAGTAAGACTTATGAGGTTATTATTTCATTGTTCACTGCATCATTAATGATTTGGCTGTTAAAATGACTGGTTCCATGTAGGAAAGATTGCTTCACATTAAACTTTTGACCACATAAGGGAGAAAGAGAACCCTACCCAGTTTTGTTTTACCAGGAAATGAAAGACGAATGGACTGTGTTGCATTTGCTAAGGTTTATCAAGATCCCTCTTTCAAGAGATGTGGGCTGAGTTGTAGTCCCCTAAAATTTATATGTTGAAACCCTAACCCCCAGTACTTAAGAATGTGACTATATTTTGACAGAGGGCCTTTAAGGAGGTAATTAAGGTCAAATGGGGTCGTATGGGTGAGCCCTAATCCAACCTGACTAGTGTCTTTATAAGAAGAGGGAGACACACCGGGAATGCCCCCACACAGAGGAAAGGCCATACAAGGTCACAGCAAGAAAGTGGCTATCCGCAAGCCAAGGAGAGAGAGGCTTCAGGAGAAACCAAACCTGCCATCACCTTGGTCCTAGACTTCTGGCATCTGGAACTGTGAGATTTAAATTTCTGTTGTTTAAGCCATCCAGTTGGTGGTATTTTGTCATGACAGCCCTAGAAACTAAAGTAAGAGGAATTAAGTATTCTGCATGAGCTGAGCCACTCCCCCTACTGATGCCTTGACAGCCAGTAAGAGAGATATCAATAGAACAGGACAGATGAGTTTTTACTATCCGGCACAGGTGGTTTGCAGTGAGACTGATAATCAGTTGGGGAAAATGTATTCCTGAGGATAGAAGGGAGTCAGGTGTCAATTAAATAGTGATTTGTAATAGTTAAACTAGCAACAGCTATTAGGTGTGTGTTTCTCTACGCTGCTATATAACTTATAACAGTAACATGCTTATGATTATTTATCCAATAATTACTCATTTCTTTCCTTAGTTAACTGCTAACAATTTATGAAAGATTTTATTGGCCAGAATACTGCCAATAAAAAGCTTCTGCTTTTTCTTGTCCTAAACACTTCCTAGCTATGTGATTTTGGGCAAATTACATAACCTCCTGTGCCTTGGTTTATCTGTAAAATGGAAAGAAAGTACCTTCTTCATAGAGTTATGTGAGAATTAAATGAGTTAATATAGGTAGAGTGCTTAGGAGGATATAGTAAGCACCTAATTAATGTTAGCTATTATTATTTTAATTTGGTCCTGTCTCTGCACACAGATAAGTGATAGCAGAACTATTGGACTTACATGGTTCTACCAAGATATATGCCACTAGCTGCCAGCCCCCCACCTCCCACTGAAATTGCCAGCATAGTGTTAAATTAGAATAAGCAACATGAAGAACAGTAGCTATTAAATCTCAGTATCTAGCATCATTAGGAGGCTGACAAAAATACAGATTTCTGGGCCCTGTGTTCAGAGATTCTGATTCACTACGTTGGGATGGAGCCCAGGAATCTTTTTAGTAGGTGCCTTGGGTAATTCTGATACAGGTGGTTCTCAGAACACCCACTAAGAAATACTAATCAAAAGGAATTCCTTCTATATTTAAAACTACTAAATTACAGTAAATGTCATAATTTACTACTTGTGAGTTGGTAATTTTCATTTAGGTATTTGAAATGTTTAACTAAAACTAATTTAGGTCAACAATGAGTGTATAAACTTGCCTTTAAAAATCATCTAAAAGATCATTTCCACTAGTATTAATAAGATCTATTGATAAACCTGAAGAAATTCTGTATTGGATGTAGCCCTCAGTTTCTCTGCAGATAATTAATCTCAAGTTGAGTCATTCAAGGTGAGGATGAACTATCCAATACTCCTCTCAGAGTTGTGGCCTGCCTGAGTGAACCGAGTTGAGGAAAGATGGAGAGATATAGAGTATAAGGAGCAGCTTACAGAGAAGCACAGAATGGTGGTTCAATTCGTTTTGGGAAAATGATCCATTCAGCCAGAAGGTAGCAGGCTAGTTATGTAAATTAATTAGAAAGTCTTACATGTAGATAATGCTATGAGAGAGTTTTTTTTAGGGAGCTGGGACCCTGGAGAAAGGTAAATAGCTGAAAAAGTGCTGGGTTCTTATAGGATAAAATTCTTTTAGGATGGCTAGAGAAAGCTTAGTCCCAAGCTGACACTGGGCATTCAAGCTGGAGCTTAACAAAATATGATAGTGTTGTGGAGGGTCGGAATAAAGAGTGATTAAGTTTGAGCTCTGTGATAACTTTGGAACTGAAAAACTTGATTATTGTTACAACAAATTCCTAAAATCTGTGTACCTATTCATTATGGGACTGCAGTTTAAAGCTGGTATTTCTTTCCCAGTGGTCAAATTGCTGTGCTGAAGTGGGGTAAGAATGGTTATTTTTGAGGAAATCAAAGAGGAGAAACTCCAAACCCGTGGGGCAGCTATGTAGAAACTTACCAGGGCTAAGGCATGGAGCTTTCTGTGTGAGGGAAGAGGTGGGGTGGTTCCTGCGCCTTGCAGCCTGGGTCAGCAGCTCACCTGCGTGTTCTCAGGGCACCACAGGGAGTTTCTTGGTGATCCAATGGTATTTCTCGGTAATCCAACGGTGCTTCTTTTAGAAAAAGGAAATTGGTTTCAACAAAGTTGAGTAAACTAGACAATACTGATATTGTTTACATAGAAAGCTTTCAAATTAAACTCCTTAAAATCTTCATGCTGCTTTTAAGATAAAGAGCTATTTAGATAATTATTAGCTCATTCTTTTTCCTTTATACTAACCTCAGAACATTTACTAAGAAATCAACATTTACTAAGAATTCAATCAAGTTGAATTCTTACTCTTGGGATTTGTGTATTCTACTAATATATGTAGCTCTGTGTATGTATATATTTTATATAACTTATAATTTATAGCATACAGATAATCATAAATTATTTCTAAATCAAAGTGCTTCAGCCATATTAAGGTAATTGTTTTTCTTAAGTAAACCAAAGTAAATCTTTGAACAAATCACTGATTCCTGAAAGAAAAATGCATTTAGTAGGCAGGTGTTTTTATTTAATTTTTAACTCCATCCTCTCTACCATCTGAAAGGTTTTGTGGGTATTAACATAGCACCACTTTGGACAATTGTCTCCAGGAGTTGAGGAAGTCTTATGTTTCATGCTTAAATGTCCCAAGATATTTTAAAATGCCATTTCTTATAATAGAAGCATGTATTTATTGTACAATATTTGAAAATTATAGGAAAGCATAATGGAAAAAAAAGTCATCCACAGTTCCAGTACGCAATTGATAATTACCATTAAATATCTATGTTAACTACCATTAAAACATCACCTATGAGTCTTTCAATCTTTTTCTCTATGTATGAATGTATTATATATATGTGTATTACTTGTATTACATATATATGTGTATGTTTACATATAAGCACAAATTAGTAACATATGGCCATAGGTTGTTTTTCCACTTAACATTATAGCATTAATATATTCTCATATTAAATATTCTTCAAAACATGATTTTAAGTATCAGATAGTAGTCCCTTACATTTTACCAATGTTTAAGATTATTTTCAATTTTTTTCTACTCTAATATTAATCTTTCTTGCACAGAAATATTTTAACTTTTAACACAAATTAAAGTAGGACTGGAATTACTGGTTAAAAGGGTAGTGACATCGCTAGAGAACTTGATGCTTCTCAATCCCCCTGTGGAAGCCCACTTGTTTGCATGCCCTTTAGTGGAATATCAGCACTCGTTAACCATACCCTCTTCAAGAATGAATGTTAACTTGAAAAACAGCTTTGTCTAATAGTGAAGAAGAATGTCTCATTTTGATTCATTTTCCTTTTATTGCTATTGAGATTGGACATATTTTTCATATTTCCCATAATCTTAATAGCATTTTTTTTTATTAGCAAACTTGTTTAATTCAAACCAGCTATGACAATTCACAATTGACCTCATTGCATTGACAGCTTCATTGTGGTACTAATTCTGTCTCCTAGAGTCCATTAAGGGAAATTTTTTTTAAAGTGCTTATTATGATAATAAAGAACATAGACTTATGTGTAAGACTGCTGCCGATCCCTGCCATTTAGTCTTGTGTAATCTTGAAGTTACTTATCCTCTCTAAGCTCCAGTTTCCTTAAGACAGAACTGATAATTTTCACAATGAGACAGCGATTAGTAAAGCTTTCAACAAAATGTAGCTACTACTGCAAAATGAGAAATGTTTTTCTCCTAATTACCCAATAGGTATATCAAGGTGTGATAGCATAGTTCTAGAAGCAAGAACTTTTCAAGTCCCAACAAGTTGCATGTTTTACTTCATTTTATTATTTAAACTTCTTCTTGCTATAAGAACAGCACAAATAGTGGGACTTTTTTATGGGAAAAAAAAAAAAAAAAGTCACCAGGAGATCACTTGGGTTGCTAGCCCAAGAGCAGCCCCAGTCTTGCAGGATACGACAGTTCCTGCTGGTGTGGTGCTTAGTATTTTAGGAATTTGCCCCAGATCTGACAAGATAAATCCTCTCACTTCTCCCTTCTCCTATAGGATGGAAGAGAGGACACTACTTCAACATAGCCACTAAGCCTGTATGATCATTCTAAGGTCATTATAAGAATCTGGCTTTCCTTTCAACATCATGCTTCAACATCTATCTGTCTAGGGATTTATAATATAATGTAGATTCTCATTCTCAATTCTTTGTCCAATGGATTTTTTAGACTATAAATATTTTTAAATGATTTAAAAAAAATAAGTTTCAAATTTTGGATGATATCTAGACTTCCATCCACACTGAGGATGTGACTATGATACATACTAGCTGTTGAGCTCTGCTGACCAGCTTGACTGCCAGACAGGTTGTTACTAGTGCCAGAGGCACCCTGACATCACTCTCTGAACTGCTTTCTCTTTCACATTCTTGTACTTTTCCAGTTGACAGCCGAGGGTGGGTGCCGATTCCATTCACAGCTGCAACTGAAAAGCAAGGTTCAGAAATGTCAGATATCCTCCGAGAGCTACTCCGTGTTTCTGAGAAAGCTGCCAGCATCGCCCGGGCATGCAGGCAGCAGGAAGCTCTCTTCCAGCTGCTCATAGAAGAAAAGAAAGAAGGAGAAAAGAACAAGAAGTTTGCAGTTGATTTCAAGACCCTGGCTGATGTACTGGTACAGGAAGTTATAAAACAAAATATGGAAAACAAGGTAAGAAAGGTCATATCCAAGGTAACTGCAAAATATTTGCCCTTGTGGCTGTGTCCCCTGTTAGAATGCCTTTTTTTTTTTTATCGCCCACTCAGAATGAGAGCACTTTGGATTCAAATAAACAACTTAGGTTTTTTTACCCCCTTGTTTTCGCTACAATGTATTCATTACAGAAAAAAATTTAAATACAGAACAGCAAATAAGGAAATACAAATCACTCACAATACTAACAGCTAGAGAGAAACATTTAGGTACAGAACTTTTCATTTATTAATGTGTATGTGTGTGTGAGGCATTTATAATTTATTCCAACAGAAATAAAAACATATTGTTTTATAGGTTTTTTTTACTTGATAATATATGTTAAGTCCCACCTTCTTGATGTAATCATTTATCTAATGGTTGCCTTGGTTATAGGCTTGTAGAATCCTGGAGACTTAAAGTCTCCCTTATTCTAGTAGAAAAACATAGTTTATAACTAACAATGATTGGGTTTCTAGGTATATTAAGCTGCTTGGGTGGAAAAACTATTTATAAATAGTAATAATAAACAGTTAACACTAACAGACTTATAAATGCTTACTGTGTGTCAGGCACTGTTCTAAAGGCTTATTTAACTTTTTAAATCATAACAATTTTATAAAGAACTATTATTCCTATGTAATAGATGAGAAAAGATTGGCACAGATAGGTTAAATAATTTGCTTGAGGTTACACAGCAAATGAATGGTAGGGCCAGTTTTTTAACATAGGCCACCCGGCTCCAGAGTCTGTGCTCTTTGCAATACAATATTGGCTTTTATATAAACTAATAATTATATATATTTTTTTAGATCTGAGAAGATAGAACTTTATGACAGAAGGTACTATAAAACATTGGAATAGTTTTCTATGAAATTCTCTAAATAAGAATTATTTAAGTGAATTCTTGATCACAGGCAGGAAGAGAGAATAAACAACCGCTTGAAATCTCTATAAGCTATACTTTTTCATGCCCTATAAAATCTGGCTCCAATAAACTAAATGAAGTAAGTTTATGTTATTGATCAAGATAGTTGGGTACAAGAAGAGATGGTTGAGCAACTAACTGGATTAGAAATCAATATTAATTTTATGGGCTAATATTTGCTCCAAAGCATTATAACAAGTTCAGGCAATTGTTCATTGATGAAGTATATGCCAGGATTTATGAACAAATACATGATGATTATATCTTTGTTTCATGACTCTTAAATCCTGTAGCCTCAGAAACAGGTCTGTCTATAAGCAGGCTTGAGAACTGAACTTCAGCCCTTGATGAACTGGCTCATTGCCAGCCCCTGTTGACTTGCACTGTTCTTCAAAATTGAAAAAAGTAACAAGTGGTTGTGGGCACTATTAAAGCTATTAGCCATCTGTAAATGACTGAATTCAAATATCTGAAGCATTCTAGTGCTTTTGTTCCCTAAGAACATAACGTATATCATAATTTAGCACATATTTTGAGAAAAATTATCTTTACTGTAGAGAGGATCAGTGGCAAAATGTATCTGAAAGCTTCCTGGTCATATAAAGATGAGAGAAGATTCTTACTTAGCTACAAATTTTCCATTCTATATTGATGCATAAATTATCGGTCAATAAAATATCTCCGTTTTTCTTTTTGCTGTATCACCTCCTAGCCTGAAGGTGAATGATACTTCCAACAGGTGCAGAAAATACACCTGAAAATGAAAACAAAATGTAACATCCTCTAATCCCTTCTATCTAGTCTCAAGTAACAATTTTAGGTATTTGATCAATAATAGTAACTTGTATAAGCTACTAGGGTGCTATTTAAGAGCAACAGTTTAAATATCCCCTTTGCAAATTTTCTAGTTCCGTGGCCCTTAAGTAGAAGAATAAAATTTCTAGAACTACTTCTGTAAACTCAACAGAGCATAAGGAAAACAGACTTCTACCATGATTTGGACTTTGTAGAAGGGCAAAGGAACAGGAAAATGTTAAAAACCTAAGTATTAAACTAAGCTGACTTCACTTTTTTATACTTAGATTTTTGGAACTGCAAATTTCTAAATTTCAGATCTAATTATGATACTTAATTTGAAATATAAAATGGAAATCTGTTCAGAACTGAACATGTATGTGGTTTTTATGTTTTATTGTTATTGTTTGGATTTGTTGTCACACTCTGAATCATTCAGTTTCCAGGCCTGGCAAAAAAAATTTTTGGAGAAGAATCCAATGAGTTTACTAATGAATTGGGTAAGTATACAAATCTTAATGTAAATGTGTAACTTATTATCATATTTTCTAATTTTCAATATACATTATAAAATAAATAAATGGAAACTTTTTGTGTAAACAGCATATCTGAATTATAAGCTTCATTCAATACTTCAGAATATCATGCCATTTAAGTTAGGGAAATGGGCTTTCTTAGAATTATTTAGCAAATCCGTATGTGTTATTTTAGATATAAATCTGTAGCATTTAAATAATGTATGACAACCTTTCAGAAATTTGCATGGTCCTTTGGGAATCTAATGGAAGCTACTGATGCCCCAGCAAGACATGCATTATACAACTGTGCAGACGATTTCAGATCCAAGGTTTAAACCCACTTGTGGACTTCGTGGGATTCCAGGGACCTTGGCTGAGAATGTCAAGAAAGCCCTGTGTCTGACTACTGTGTGATCTTGAGCAAATCACCTCCTCCCTTCTCTGGTTTCAGAACCTCTGTAAAGGGAGTTTGACTAACAAAAAACGTTCCTTTTAGTACCAAGTTTTAAGTCTCATTTAATTAGTTTTCTGTGTGCCAGTTTCTCCTTTGATGATGGACCTCCGTGTTCCCTGCCATATAGAGAATATCAAAATCTCCATCTAATTCTTTCCAGATAAATTATTTTTAGATTGAATTTTTTGTTTGCTTAATAGTAGAAGATTAAGAATGGTGAACTTTAAACACTGATCTTGTGACAAAATGTTAAACATCTAGAGGCACATTTTCAAAGGAAAAAACTGATGCCCCAGCAAGGTATGCATTGCACAACTGGATTAACTCTGGAAAAATTTTTGTCTCTTTCATGGGCTATGTATTAAGATACAGTTAGTTTTGTGATACACAATAAGAAAAATCTCATTTAAACTTCTTATGCTTATGCTTAAAAAATCCTGTGACTCATTCATAAGAAATTCTATGCTTAAAATCTTATTTGACTGCTTCACAAAGTTATTTTAATATTTCATTTATCTAGAATTATAGAGGCAGAAAGCCATTCCACATAGATTTCCTGAGAACTGAAGGAGATAATGGGCTTAGTATGTTGGACGGGCCGATATGTGGAAAAGTGGAAGGACTAGTAGATGAGGCCGGAACACATCATGGAAGTTTGTAGGAAAGAGTTTGGGTTTTCCTCTAAGTACAGTGGGAATTCACTGGAGAATATTAAGCAAAGGAAGTGATGTGATATGACTTGCTCCTTTGAATGGCCCCACGACTTTCACTGAGCCCAGAGTAGACCCTTAGTAAGTGGCAGTGATTAGCATTATTATTCCTCAACTTTAACAATCTAATGTAACTTGAATTTAACTTAAATTAACCAAATTTAAGTGAAAGTTTCTTGCTGATTCAGTCATCATTGTAATATTCATACTGTGCTTCCCAAATTTTAATGATTATGTGAATCACCTGGGGATTTTGTTAAAACTCAGTAAGTCTGGGATGGGGCCTGAAGTTCTGAGTTTCTAACAAGCTCCCAGGTGGTGCAGATGCTGCTAGTCCTTGGAATAGCTCAGGTAGTTAGATTTGTCTATGTATCTAAAAAGCCCCAAAGTGTCATGTTTTATTTCTGTTTAAAAGTTTATATCCTCCATTGTTGTCCCTTTTTGTTGCTATTAATTTCCCTATTTTTTGCCAGCCTCTTTCTTTACTTTGGTTGGGAGCTGGAAACTAAATTAACCAAGGGTCTAAGTAGAAGCATGTTTAAGGCGATGGCAAAGCACCTGGACTTGGTAATTATGGTTTCATTTGGAGAAGCAGCTTTGCTTACATACTAATTCCCAGAGAGTTTCACAGAGGAGAGTTATTCTTTGTATATCATTTAGTCGTATAGTTTTAATACATTAAAGATTAGTATACTTCATCTTACTTTACTGAGCATAAACAATTTTTAGTTAAAAGCAGCATCAGAGAAGAAGTAGATGTGCTTTGGAGTGCTGATAAAGCCTTCATTCTTTTCAATAACATCCAAACACAACAGGGTAACCTATGCATATTAAAAGTCAAAAGGCAAAAAACATGAATAAAAGATTATCAAAGGACTCAGGATTCAGGGGTTCTTAAACCGGTCCATGAGCTCCCTTAAACTGGATACAAAATTGTGTGCATGTGCCCATGTGGACATTTTTCTGGGGAGAAGGTTTGATTTCTGGACCCATCCCTTACTATTAAGTGCATGAGTGACCAGTTGGCGTCTGTAACTTTATGACAACCCTTCGTGCCCCACCCCACCGGCTCCTGTGATTCTGGCAATGGGCCAGGCTAGGAACCACTGCTATGGATATATTGCCCTCACCTAATCTAAGTGCATAGCTTTTGCTTCTCCCCAGCCCTCTGTTGTTCTTTCTGCACTGAGACTCTTGAAATGTAATGACTTTTAGTTTGTCTTTATTCTAGGAGAAAAGGTTATCTTGAGACTGTGTCCGACAGAGGAAGAAACTGTAGAACTTCTTAGCAAAGTCCTTAACGGTAACAAGGTGGCATCTGAAGCATTAGCCAAGGTTGTTCATCAGGATGTCGCCTTTACTGACCCAACTCTGGATTCAATAGATATCACCATTCCACAGGACATTTTGGGAATCTGGGTGGATCCCATAGGTAAGTAGAAGATAGTGTGTTTGCTTTTGTTCATTTGTTCTTATTAGTAATCCTTTGGTGAGGGGAAACTTAGAAAAATAAAAATTGAGTGTAGTTTAATTCTCCTGGAAGTTTTAAAATTTTTGAAGTTTTAAAATAATAAATGAAGAGTTTAGATGTGTGTTATGTATTGTGTTATAAACAAATATATATCACATATAACAGATATGCTTAAGTGTTTGTGTCTTTATGTGTGTATGTACACACAGGCACACTGATGATTGTGATAGAACCATAATCTGTAGCTCATTGTTTTAAAAGTATAGGCTTCATTTCAATGATGCTATTAATACAGTACCCTCGGTATTAATTGTCAGAAGTCCCTTTCTTTTCTTTCCCACCTGCCTGGTACATTCCACCCAACACAACTGGCACCGTTCATTATGCCGTGCAGCAAACTCCCCGACCCTTCACATCTGACAAGCACATTAACACCACGTTAGAGAAATGACTTCTGTCATCAAGGAATTATTGAATGTTTAGCCAATGGATTACATATGCAGACTAAGGCTCTTCCCCAAAATCTATTATCATTCGTAAGGGTAAACCAGCATTAATTAAGATTTCTGAGGCACAGAGATCTCCTGCTACTTGGTTCTATCCTGAATTGTTAGCTCTCTCCATCTTTTTGCCCAGCACATCCTTAACTGGGTGTTAACTCACTCGATGTTGGCAGTCAGCTACTGGCATGTACACCTCTTAAGGAGAAACCTAGCTCCTCAGTTTCTTTTGCACAGGAGCTCCATTCATTCTTTCCTTTTGTGTCACCATAATTGTCACTTTCTTCTTGATTTTAGCAATAACAACAACAAAAAGGTAATTGCCAAAGAATTGTAGACATGTCCTTTCCCTTCAAGAGTTCCTATACAGTCAGGAAAATGAAACACAAGCAGCTTAAAAATAAGATACAAGAGGTCAAATAACTATTCACTACAAGTGACATCCAAAGGTAAAACCTGATTGGTTACTGTCTGTGTCCATTCAGGCTGTTATAACGAAATGTTATGGACTGGGTAGCTTATAAAACAACAGAAATTTACATTTCACAGTTCTGGGGCTTGGACGTCCAAGATCAAGGTGCCAACATAGTTAGGTGAGGGCCGTCTTCTTGGTTCATCACCAGCACCTCATCTTGTCCTCACAGAGGAAGGGACTAGGGACCTGTCTGGAGCCTCTTTTATAAAGGCACTAATCCCATTCATGGGTTCCACCTTCATGACTTAAGTACCTCTCAAAGGCCCCATTTACTAATACCATCTTTTTTGGGGGTGGGGAGGGGTTAGGATTTTGGAGGGGAGACACAAACATTCAGGCCATAGCAGTAAATTAGTGGAAGAAATGGTATAGGACAGTTTATAGATGTGTTCATTATTTTCTAAATAATCATTACCTGAATCCAAACAAATTTGCTTCGTTTTTCAGATTCGACTTATCAGTATATAAAAGGTTCTGCTGATGTTAAATCCAACCAAGGAATCTTCCCCAGTGGACTTCAGTGTGTCACCATTTTAATTGGTGTCTATGACATACAGACAGGGGTGCCCCTGATGGGGGTCATCAACCAACCTTTTGTATCACAAGACCTAAACACTCTCAGGTAAAAGATGAATACTTGGTACATTATGTGTTTTAGTATTTACAACCTTAGCTTTGCTTATTGTCAAGATTATCACTCCATGTGACATTCCTATGATTTGACTGGGGTGTTCCTACTAAAATCTGCATGTTTGAATTAAAGTTCTATTTTTAAGCCTGGGTTTGGCATAATTTTATTTGGGGCATGCTGGTAGAAATTTTTAAAAGAAATAGTATCTTGGAGAAATCATAGTTTTGCATTTGAAATATAGCAATCCTGTTCCCTCTTCCTAGAATCCATTCAAAGCCAGATTAATAGAATAGCGGTAACACTTTTCTAATAATTTGGACCAAGATAGATGCTGTTGCCAGATACATAGCCAGTTAAACTTTTACACTATTTTAGAAGAAATTCAGAACAAAATGTGAAAATTATCCAATGAAAAGATGAGCAGTTATGGCCAGGATTAGAACCTATGGGGTGCTCTCCCTGTAAGTGTGTCAGTATCACCTTTTCTGCCTCCTCCCTCTTCACCCTTCTGTGGACTCTTCTTACCTGGAGCATAGCCAGCTGCCAGTCAGTTCCCTCTGATCCATGGCCTGCGCTTTGGGGTTGACTCTAGGCAGAGTCCAAGGGGAAGCAAGCAGCTTTTCTCTTGTGGTCTGTTTTTTTATTGAAGTCAGTCATGTTGTTCTATTTGTACTGAACTTTGAGTTGCTTCAAGCAACTAAAAATTGTATACTCTTTAATAATCATAAACTACACCACTGGAATTTTGACATTTTCCTCTACCCCTGCCTTCTTCCAAACGGAAAATGTGTTTGTTATCTTTAAAAGGTCACTGAGAAATTAAAAAGAATTGAGACTGGATGCAGACATAATCATGGCCTAGAAATGGTTGACAAAAGTAGTGGCACAGATTCTGGAGTGAGACTTCCCGGGTTTGAATGCAGATTCTACCACTGTCTTACATTCTTACACTTCTATTCCCTAAGCGTCAGTTTCCTCTTCTGTAAATAGAATAAGTTAAACATTGAGAAATGATAGGGCTATTATTTTTGTGGACAAAAATAATGAGTCCACCTCTCTTGATGCTAAAGCCAAAGTGGAGCTTATGAATAGGACAATGAAAAGGAGTTCACCAAATGAAGAGCAACTTATAAGGACTGCTTTGCAGATTGAAAAGATAGATGATTGTGTCTGTTCATCTTTTTCCCTATTAAACTATAAATGCCAAAAGTGGCAATGAAATTTAATGGTGTTTCTACAGGCCAGGATTTTAGTATCACCCTAGATTGATGTGATAACACTGAAAAATGGAAAATGTTTCTAATCTGCAATACAGGCAAGCAGCTGCATGCAGAGGAGTAACTTCTAGAAATGCATTAGCTACTTGATCTCTATTTCTAGGCTTAAGGGCATTGAGACTCATTACATTATATTTTTTTCATATCATTAAGTTGAAAAACAACATGAATGATAAAACAAATGTCATAACCTACCTCCACACACTGAAAGTTCTCTTTTGCAGGTGGAAAGGACAGTGCTATTGGGGCCTTTCTTACATGGAGACCAACATCTACTCACATCAGCCTTCCGTTTCTAAAAGAAATGGCAGTGAACCATGGAGCCAATTGACTAAAAACACCAGCTCTGAGGTAGAATTCTCTCACCAGTTTTCAGCTGTCATTAGTACAAGTGAAAAGGAGAATATCAAAGCTGCATTGTCACGTGTCTGTGGAGATCGTATATTCCGGGCAGCTGGGGCTGGTTACAAGAGCCTGTGTGTTGTCCAAGGCCTTGTTGATGTTTACATCTTTTCAGAAGATACCACATTCAGGTGGGACTCTTGTGCTGCTCACGCCATACTCAGGGCCATGGGTGGGGGAATGGTAGACTTAAAAGAATGCTTAGAGAGAAATCCAGAAACAGGGCTTGATTTACCACAGTTGGTGTACCACGTGGAAAATGAAGGGGCTAGTGGAGTGGATCGGTGGGCCAACAAGGGAGGACTAATTGCATACAGATCAAGCAAGCAGCTGGAGACATTCCTGAGCCTCCTCATCCAAAACCTTGCACCTACAGATGCACACAGATGAATATTTCTCCTGTGTACTTGTAAACCAAACTGTGAACCATCTCCTACATCTCTCTCATTTGAACATAGCTGAGTCCAACTGATGAGCAACATTCACCTTCCTATTCTGAAGAGCATTTTTTCACTATGTATTCATAATAATGTTAATTTCAATAAATAAATGACATTCATGCAGCAATTAAACAGATGTGAGAAATTCTTATAGTGAATTTTATGCTACCAGTGTTGCTTTGAAACACTTCAATAAAGTATTGAAAAAGAGGAAAACCTGCTCAATCAGAAAAACTCCTCTAAACATCTAAGTGATAAGTAAAATGCTACCGAGATTAGGGAGAGCACAAGAGAAGGTTGTGCTTGTGTGTTTTTTTTGTTTTTTGTTTTTTCCTGTCTTGAAGGGAAAGTCTGCAACTTAAGCCTTTGGCAGAATGTGTAGAACTGTGAATTGGACGCATAATTTAACCCTGTTCATGTACTTTTTAACAGTATTCTTGTATTTCTCATAAGTATCAAAGTCTGGAGCCTCCTATCCTCACATACTGCGTCTTTCTCTCTTACATGCACTCTCACGCCCTCTTTCACACAAACACACACTCTCTCTAATACTCTTACATATACACACATACCTTCTTTCTAATTCTCTAATACTCTTCATACACACTCCATTTCAGTAGATTAGGCAGAAAGGAACAGAATAGAGGTTTCTGCAATTTTTGCATATGTACTATACTTTAAAACGAGATGTAGAGTTTAGTATATACAGTCCTTGTGTCTAGTAGCATCCCATATTGAATGTCGTAGATCACTCTTCCTATTTAGCAACCCTGGTAAGGAGGTACTGCTGCCATCCGGAGGCATCAAACCTCAGCTCTGACTTCTTTCCATCCTGCGCCCTCTGGAGACCAAAAGTATATTTCTGCAGCATCCTCTCTTAAAATTACAAATGAAAATAACGATTGAACTCTAATAGTATTTTGTTGCGTACAGCAGATTCAACAATTTATTTAGTGTTAAAGTTATAGTTTTTAAAGCTTGCATTGTGTTTTGTGATTGATTGTGGGCCCTCAAGCTGTATATTTTTTCCACTTAATGTCTAATTTTAAAGGTTGATTTTTTAAGTCGATAAGTTCATTCTTTATGAAACACATAAAAAATAAAAACCCAGAATCTAGTACTGCTCCCTGACATGCACCAAAATGGAGAAATAGAATATGGTTCAAGAAAAAGCTTTTGTTGTCCATATGAACATTTTAGAATATGTAAATTATCAATAAACACAGTGCAAACAGTTATCTTCAATGTGATCGGAACAAGCAGTTTGTCAATTTATTGGGGGAAAAAGCTGGATAGAAAAGCTCATATATTCTGCGAACATATATTATACACACTCATTGTTGATCTTTGCAGGAAAGCCAAGGCCCACCCTTTAAGCATATATCTGCTGATAGGTCTGTACTTTCTTGCATAAACCACACCCATGTGAGTATGGTCTCTAATTTTCATTTCTTTAGAGGAAGAACTTAAAAATATTTGCAAAGTAATCTGAGGGCATAATCATTCTGGATTTAAATTTCCCTCTATTTTTACAATTGCCTCATACTCAGTGATTTTTTTAAGACTCGCCTTTATCAATCCTTTCCAAAGCCTTCAATTCTTTGTTTTCAAATCCATGTTCCATTATTTAATATTTAATTGATCTTTTAAATGTACAATCAGAATATACAGTTTTATTTTTTCATGAGAAATAATAGTTTATTAAAAGTATAATATGAGATAGAAGACGAGTCAAGCCTAAAACTGGCTAGCCACGTGGAAATGAGGTTACATACCCCTAAGTGGGGTATGGGTTACAGCCAGGGAGGATGGGGAGCTGTAACAGAATATACAGTTTTAGAAAGAACTCAACAACTAGTAAACATGCAACTCAACTGATGGGAACGGGAGTTGTGGGTAGTGATGGAGGAGTGTTCCAGGGAGTAGTCTGTTGAACATGAAGATCAGGTGTCCTGTGGATCAGCCAGTATGTTTTACAGGAGACTGTCACAGAGATGAATCCGCCAGGTCACTTAGATGGAGGTTAATAAAAAGAGAGTTTCCTCTGGACATCAATAAAAGCAGTCTCTGCAAAGCCAAGTCAACATTTGTTCCTCTCTTGTTTTTGCAACCACATCTAATCACTTAGGAAACCCTCTTCGCTTCAACTTTAAATTACAGCCAGAATTCAACTATTCCTCATCACCCTGCTATTTTCACCCTGTGTCAGGCCTCACCTGGATTATTGCAATAAACTCAAATTTGCCTCCATACCATCCATTTGCAACACAGAAGCCAGAATGATCCTTTTCAAACATCTATCAGATCATGTCTCTGCTCTGTTCAAAACCCTCCAATGGAAAAAAAAAAAAAAAAAGCCCAGCAACGACAAAACAAAACAAACCTCCAGTGCAGAGTAGGAAGTCATCTGCTCTTACTCTCCCTCCTTGCTCATTTGTTTCAGCCACACTGCCATTCTTGCTGTGCCTTTAACTTGCCAAGCATGCTCCCTCCTCCTCAAGACCTTTGCACTTGTTGTTCTAACTAGAAATCTCTTCTCCAGGTATTGGCATGGTTCCCCCTTTCATCACCACTAAAACTTTGCTCCTGTGTCACAACATCAGTATGACCTTTACTTATCACTTTTGCAAACCACATCCCTACACCCATCCCACACTTCCTATCCCCTTCCCTGCTTTTCCCCTTCGCAGCATCTATTGCCTTCTAATACAAGATAGAATTCGTTTTGTCTGTCTCCCCATTCTAGAATGTTAGCTCCAAGGAGAAGGGATTTCATATCATGTATCTCCATTGCTTAGAAAAGTGCCTGGGCACATACTGAGTGTTAAATAAATGTTGATTTAATACATGAATTGGGCTCAGAAACTGGACAAGAGTTAATATGCATTATTGACTACAACTTTACTTCTAGCCACGATTTCCAAAATACTTCAGAAAATTGTTATAATGCTGAGAATTATCTTATAGTTGGTTGGTTAAATTTTCAAACAATCACTTTAATGCTTGAAGCACCCTATGGACTCCTGTTTTAGAAAATAAACATTGAAACATTTTCCAAGTTAATGTTCAAGTGCTGGATATTAGCCCTATTAAGAGTTAGCAAGAAAATAAGGTCAAGTCATTTTTCCTCCACCCTAAGGTCCTATCGATGGTAGGACAGGAATGAGACAGTTTGTAATAGCTAGAATGTGAGGGAAACTGTCCACCTCTCTCTACAGCAAAAGCTAAGCCCTTTCAACTGGGTTTGGGAATCAGTAGCTTGAGATTCACACAGATAGTACCCTGTAAATGAATCTACTTTAGGTCAAGTATTTCTAAAAGCATGACACTCCATGCCAGGATGGCTTACCAAGCTCAATCTTTCAAACAAACCCACTATGTCCATGGTGTATTAGGACAGCTTGCTGTGGGGACAAACTTATCATATAGTTAAACTGGTATATTAAGGTTTAGAGTATAGAAGGAGGAAAAATAATGAAAAGCCAGAGAGAGTTAATATTATCTTATCCTTATGACATAGGGAGGAGTACTATTACAGTGGGAAATTTGTAGCTTTGATATTTTTTCCACAGGACAGATATTTTTATAAATGTATCATACTAATACATCATAAGCTAGGTCATGCATGTGACAGGTTGGTCTTTTGGTACTTTTTAAAAAACAAACTCCAAGGATTATGATCTAATCATCCAGATTCCTCTGAGAATCATGATCGAATCAGTAGGTAATCTAGGTTAGCATGGGCAAATGGTATCCACTAGCCTCAGGTGGCTATTGAGCACTTGAAATGTCACTAGTCTGAACTGAGATGTGCTGTAAGTGGAAATACTTGATTTTATGAAAAATAAAATATTCATAATTCTTTATAGACATTTCTGTAACTCAATTTTTGAAATAGGATAATTTTAAATTTTTGAAAAAAAAAAAACCCATGACTTGCAATCTGAGGACAAAGCAATAGTTCACTAGTGTACAGTTCACTAAAACAATTAATAAATATTTAATAATAGTTTTATTTTCCAAGTTCTACATGTAAATTATTCACTTATATTTTGTTGTTTTGTTTCTCACATTTCCCATAACTACTAATTTATTACTTCTTTCATGTAGCCATATACTACTATATCTTTACTAACTGACAAAATCTGTTAAAAATAACATGACTGCAGGAAAATTCTTGTCCACCACTTTGTTTCAATAGGCCAAAGTAAACCACAAATGAAACCCGTCATATATACCTTGCTACCAAGGAAAGAGTAAGAATGTAAGAATTGGTATAAGG